AATTATCTTTTTCCTCACACTCATCAGGACAGGTATTTGTTTTAGAGACTGGCTGAAATAAAATAGAAAAGATACAGGACCCAACACCCTTTGTCATCCTGTTACCTGCCTTTGACACCAAGGAACTGCCATCTCAGTCTTGAAAAAAAATCCTCACTTCATCTGTAAATGATGACCTAGAACAGGAGCAATTTTGCCTTTTTTCCCTCTCCCTTTTATTATTTTCCTCTGTTTTTTTCATGCTTCTTAAATGTGCTCATTATTTATCAGTTGAACTTTAGCCTCTCACACAAAATGTTTTAGGACAACAATTTATGTAAAGTATAGTTTAGCATACTTGCTTTCCAAAATCGAGTGCATTAAAAAAAAAATCCTTAACAGTTCTCTCTAAACTGAGTTCTAGCTATCTTTGATTATACTGAGACATGGAGAAAATAAATGATAAGAAGTTGGATACAAAGCACTCAACTGGATAAAATCACTTAGCTTCTTTTTATACCAATAAATTTACATTTTTTAAATTCTCATATAAATGCATGCTTTCTTTAAAAAGCACATTGCTGAACTTCGCTGAGAAAGTCTATTTCTTTTTCTTTTTCTTTTTGTATTCCAGTGCTAATGAAGCTTATTTCTGGTGCTATTTTATATGCACATCCTGTTAGAACAAACAGACTAACTGCTTACAAAGGACAGATATACGACCTTGCTTTCTATTATTTGCATTGCAGCAGTTAAATTCTGTCAAAATTTTCATCATAAAACTTGGGTTGCTTTCAGGGACTGTGACACTCATACCTAGATATTTGCCTCTCATGCTATTGAAAGGTACAGGTAGAGGATGCTGGGGTAGTTGATCTTTGCTCTAATTCAGTATGGGTAACTGTTTTCTTTCCCACTTCTTGTGTTTGTAGATCAATGATCCTAAATTACCTTGCAGTGTTTTAAAGTGTTGGGGTTTTTTTTTTGCCTCATTATTCCCACCTCAGATGATCCATATGACCTGCTTAAAGTATGGATTTTAACTCCATTGAGAGTGCACACTGTACATATACAGGAAACTTGCTGGATATGTGATCCTGCAACACTTAATGCTTAAGACCATCCATTTTGGACTGTTTTATAAATAATACTCATTTTCAAGTCTCCATTTATGACACATTTTTAAAGGGATGGATGTCATTTAGATGGCAAAAGACTGAAAGTAAACACTGCACTAAGCACTTTCTAAAAATCCATCAGTGTTTTACTATCCAGTAGTTTGTAACAGCATTTGCAAATAGTTGCATTGATAAAAATCAAAGTCTGTAGCTGCAATGATACTCTAGAGCTGGTGATGGGCTATGTAGTGCAAGGGTTAACACACCCTCTTCTTCTCCCCCAGACTTGGACTAGATTTCTAGCTCTGAGCCACAAGTGCAAATGGGTTTTGCAGAGTTACTCTGGTCCCCTGTGGACAGGTGTCCCCATTAAAAAGCCATCATGCAGCTTGGGGTGACTGGCAGCCTCAGCTCTGGGGGCCAGGGGACTGGGTGAGTGGTGGCACACACATTTCAGCAGAGACCTGTGTTGGTACAGACACCAGCCTGCCACCTCTCTCCTTGGACATTTTGTATCATAAATATTGCATCATGAATATTTGTCTCTGTTCCTGTAACCAGCAGCTGTCGTACCTCATATTTCTATTGTCACTCAAACCCTGCTTTCAGTCCTTGCTTTGAGACCTCCAGAAACTGTTAAAAGCACAAACAGCATTGTAGACAGAGTTCTGTATTCCCAGAGCTTGAATGGAACAAGGTGAATTTTTCCTTCATTTTCCTCCACTTTTTAGAAACGCCATAACTCCAAAGCCTCTCAGAGCACATAGAAAATATAATAGAAAGAAAATATGAATATAAAATATAAAAAGAAAAACAAAACAAAAACAAACAAAAAACCCAAAACACAAACATCAACAACAAAACCAAACACAACCAAAAAAACCACACAAAACCCCCAAACAAACGAAAATAAAAAAGGAAAAACAAACAAAATAAAAAACCCAAACCAAGAAAACGCAACAAGGAGAAATTGGTGGGCATGAAGCATGAGGAGGGTGGGTTGTGCAGATTGTTCAGGAAATTCAAAATTATATAAGTAAAGAGGATTAATATCCTGCTTGCTGACCTCAAACATTTGGCTTCAGACACTGGAGCCCTAAACGTCTCAGAAGTTTTTCTGGCAGGACTCTGTGCTGTGCAACCATGGAAATTACAACTAAAGGAGAATGAACTAGAGAAATGGGGTCCACAAGGCTGCTGCAAGAGGATAAATCATTTCAGCCTTGCTGCTGTTCAGACTTCCCAGTATTGAAGAGCATCTCCTCTTGACAAAAATATGCAAGAAACCAAAATAATTTAATGATTAATTGTTCTTTTGATGGAAGTTGTTTTGGGAGAATCATGTTTTATGATGCCCAGGACTGCACCTACTTCAAATACAGATGGGGACATGAGGCTCTGCTTCCTCCTACAGTGCCTCCAGTCTGGCCAGGTCATTTTCTGTTAAAGAGCAACAGCCAACATGAAGCCAGCCCTTGATCAGGTGCTATTTAGGAGTACAAGAAACTCTCCCTCTGTCCTGAGAGATACAGGAATACCTACTCTTCACAGAGGGCAATGAATTTCACTGGTCTTCACTCACATCAAAACCAGAGTGAGATAAGGGGTTGGGAGCAGTGGCAGGCTCTGCCATAGAAAAGAATTTTTCAAACAGAGTGAGGACCTGGAGGGAGAGCTGCATGGCCCAGGAATGTGTGCCACGAATCTTTCCTTTGGCCAGACACATATTTTTCAGTGTGGGAATTCTTCTTATAACTCAGGTCCTCTGCTCCACAGGTCAGAAAGCAGGGTACAGCATCAAAAATTTACACTTGCTCCCATTTATAAACTTCTTTCCTTTAAAGTCAGGTACCACATATGCAGTGCTAGCTGGATTTTTTTATTCCATTTGTGGTATTTGTGCACCTGCCTTCACCAAACATTGTCTATCTATCTGCAATTTATTGAGGCATAATCAAAAATTGCCTGGGTGCCTTTCATGTGGAAAAGAAGCCAATCAATAGCAGAGGATTATTCCAGCACGTGTATGGTCTGAGAGTATAGCACATTTGTCACTGAAAAGCAAATGAGTTTCCCCATCTGCATCTTTGTGAACCACAGGGTTTTGTTCTAATGGATTTTGTTTCAGTGTTTTCTTAGGAAAGCACTTATTAACTAAAGGTTAATTTCTTAACACATGTAAGAGAAAGAGAAAGACTACATAATGCAATGAGTAGTGTGTAAAAGCAGAAAGCCTTAGGAACAAAGGAAGGAACTAAGGAAACTTTAGTTTCCTTAGGAACTAAGAAAAGCCTTAGTGCTCTTAGGAACAGCATGCATTTCCATTTTTATGCAATAGATATCCTTGATGTCCTAGGATTTTAAAATTATAGGAACAGACATTAGTCCATATGATATTTAATTAAATGGCAAATTGTTTCTAAGGTTATGCTAAGAATTAGTATTTTCTCTGTCCATTGCATTACACCTTAAACATTTAAAGCAGAAGCACATTTAAACTATATATATATATATATGCATATCTCACTCTTTTCATTCTTTTCTTCAAGTAGAAAAACCCAGTATGAATAAACATAAAATCCCTTTCTACCATCAGAGGCTTTACTGCAGTAAACTGAAAGTTGGTGCCGATTTTATTTATCTGTTTTATTACTAATCAGTAGGTTCATTTCATCAGGGCTCCAATTTTCAGTGGTTCTTAATGGCTTTCCTGGTGAAAATTTGAAGAGACTAGTGGTGCCACATATTTTAGAACCAAATTGAAGCATTTTGATTTACATAATAGATGTGGTTTGTTTCAATTATATTTATCCTGCTGTGCCACATTGCTTCATGGGAGCAGTAGTTTCCCCATTCAGATGTTTGCCAAACTAGTCTAGGTCTTTTCCAAATGACATTTTCTGTCATATGATCTGATCTGACAGAACAGATTAATTCGTTAAAATCCTAGAACTAGTGATGTTCCCAGTGTGTGCTGAAGAGAATGATCACCAGAGGAAGACAGAGCGTTTAATTACTTATTTGTAAGCTGGAGTCCCAGTTTCCTTAATAATAACACAGGTGTAGGTGACACTGCACATTACTTTCAAAGGCTCTAATTTTTTAATTTTTTTTTTATATTTTTATATATCTTCAATATATATCTACAGCACTTTTTCAGAATACCTCCTCACCCAAATAATTCCCTGCAGCCTACTCAGTCCTACTCAGCGGTAGACTTGCTTATGAAGAAAGAGCAAAGAGAGGAAAAGAATAGTCAGGCTGACCAACGAAAAATAAACCCACTGTTTATTATTTACTATATATGCATGACTCCAAAGTTGAGAATTCAATGTGTGCATTCAAATTACCTAATGATGATACAAACACTGCAGTCCCTCTCTCCAAAGCAATTAAAGAACAGCAATTATATGACATTTCAGTAAAACATATTTTCTAATGCTGTTTCTTAAATTCTATGTCCAAAGATACCAACTGAATGAACAGTTAGAAGCTGAAAGAGCCACAAGGATTTGAATTTGTATTTAGCTGGAATTGATAAGGCTGTTCCTTAAGATTGTTGATATTTACATTTAAGTGTGATCTGACATTAAGTTGCTTACAAATTTTGGGAAAATAAGTATGTCATTTATCACTATCTAGAATCCAGAACATCACCTGCTATTCTTTGTACAGAACATATTGTGCAGTGCACCTGAGAGGGAGGCTGGGAGAAGGTACTGCTTGTGATGATTTATGGGCAGAGATTTTTGACATGGACTAGCATCCACCAGAGGCCGAAGCAAACCCACTAAAGTTTGTTCAGAAAGAAGAGGAAACAGGATTTATAAAAAAAAAAAAAAAAAAAACAAACCCACAGCAAGACATTTGAACGCTCTTATCTGCTGGAACAACACTGCTCAGGTTAAAAAAAAAAAGGCAATTGTAGCTACAGTTTTCACAAGCAAAATAAAGCAGAAAGGAGCTGTGCTACTGTGTGTTATTCAAGTAGTTCCTCAGCAAAACAAGTCTAGCAACAGCTGTGCTCTCACCACCACTGAAGTTCCTCTTTGAGCCTGCTGCTGCTTTACCTCTGGATTCTGTTTGGGATGGAGAAATATGTAGTGAGACCTGTAATGGCTTGAAACTGTCTTTCCTAACAGTAGAGAACTTATGGTAGCTTTGTAGTTTCTTGAGGCCCAGATTCACTTACAGAACTGCAGGAGCTTATAGGTCCTATTGCATTTCTTACCACAAATATTCTTTACCAGAGGGACATATATTGATATTTTTGTTTCTTTTTTTTTTTTTAATCTCCAAAATATGAAACCTCTCAAGTAGCTTTTGTAGGAGTTTTCCAAAATATGACTCAGAGCAAGACTTCACAAACTGAAGATAAAAGGCCTTTCTGGAGGTCAGTGATTGCTGAGGGGCAGTGGCAGTCCTGGGTGTGGGACCTGGGGACTCACTCCAGGCACACAGAGAGACCTGACAGTCCCTTATGGGAGCCCTTTTGGACTCCTCTGTGCAATGGGAATGTTGGGCTGTCAGCACAAAAGTTGTTTTTTTACCATGTAACATAATTAAAATGAAAATACCACAACATCCTAATGAAAGGCAATGTGGTTCAAAGAGAATCCAGAAACAAAACACTGAACAATATTAAGCTGTGGATGGTATGAACAGATTTAAAGCTCCCAAGACACAAGTCTGTAAGTGCTAACAAACATGTGAAGTTTGACATTTAGAGCTACCTCTTTCTCTTTTCTTTTTTTTTTTCAATTAGAGATATTTTGTTACCTAGGATATTTTCTTGTGACTTATGTCTAAAAACAGCTAAGTTTTTAAAAAACAAATTATCTTTAGATCTCACAGAGAGGGTGCAGTAAAAACGTGCGTTTATGAATGCATTTTCAAAAAAAATTTCTAGAGTAAAAGTTAAGTCAAGCTTGTAAAACAATTGCAGTGGCCTTCCTTTTATTTAGCAATACTTACTTTGTGCTTGTGATAGTTGTCTTCCATTCCAGTCTCTACTTCTGAAGAGGAAGGAGTGAAAAATACTTGCTGCACAGCTAATTTATCAGCCTGACATTACCATCTATCAAGAGGAGAGGCCCGCTGTTAGGAAAATCAAGATTATCGGTTCAGGGGTTTTGTTACCTCTTGTGAAATGAGGGCAAGTGTGACAATTTACACACCTGAGAGATGTTCTGGACATTTTAAGCCCCAAGTCACATACATCACTTCATTTTCTGCAGTCTGCTCTGGTGGTTGCTGTCTTCATTGACTCTCTCTGACGGTCCTGCTGCTATAGAGCCCACTATATTCAAAGAAGAAAGGTTTTGGGTTTGTTTTCCTTCACAAGCTATGAAGAAACCCACTATAAAATTTGTATACTCATAGGTTAATCTTAGATCTCACCATATATGTTTGAGTTCAGCACCTTACAAAGTGTTGCAGACTGCAGTGTCTCAGGGCTGATCAGCAGGAACCTGCAGACACCTCCTTCAGGGCTCCTGCTGCTGAGTTGTAATTCAGCAGATGGAAACCCTGGAAGGCAAAGGGCTTTTCATGTGGTAATAGGTAACTGTGAACAGGTGACTGACTTCAGCTCTATGGTGAACCAGGACTATCTGCTTAGGAAAAAAAAAAACCAACAAAGAAAAATCTAATGAACAAGAATTAGGGTTTTGGTTTTTTTCTTTCTAATTAAAAAAAAAAAACAAAACCCAGAAAAACCAAACAGAAATTGAAAGAAGGGATTTGTTTAACCTCTCTCCTAAACAGTGGTATTTACAAATTCTGTAAAAGTTCAAAAACTACAGTCTCTGGTCTTGTTGAGAACCTTCTGCTGATGTTTTTTTATTGTGGAGGAATGTAGTGTGTACTCTAAATTTACACCATTGTGGCCTGAAGGACATATTAAAAATGTGATTTAGATTTCAATGCAATCAAAAATCCACTCTGCAGCACAGCAAAATATGGACAGGCCTATTAATGAAGAAATATAGCTGTGTAATCACATTCAGCACTTCGTATGATGCTTGCATGATAACACTTAGTGAATTATTATGTCCAGCCTTCTCAAACTTACATATACTGAATTCAAAATAGATGGTATTTGCACATTGTATCTTCATAATGGTATGGAGGCAAGACCTGATGACTTGCCAAAAACATGAAAAAACTACTACTCAGTGATGAGATTAGAATTTTGTAATTCCCAGTTGTGTTTCAGAAAATAATATTTGGTTTTGCTTGGTTTTTTTTTGGTTGTGTGGTTGTTTGTTTAATTTTTCCTAACTCACTATGTGAAACATCAGCAGGACTTTTACATTATGTTAAGGGAGTACAAGATATCAAGATGCAAGAATGTGTATGGAAACTGGAGGGCAGATAGCAGAAAGTGGTGCTTTGTGCATGCAAGGAATGAATCCAGAGAATCTCTGCAGTTCACCCTCTTCTAAGAGGATTCTTACAGATTAAGGGTAGATGATCATGTGATCAAGTCACACAGCTGAAAACTATATGGTACCTTATATTTTTCTTTGGTTTTTTTTTTTTCTTCTTAATCACATTTTCATGAAGGCTTTCAAACACTGTTGAATTGTTTTAGGACACAAAACTTCTCTAAAAATTAGAGCAGCTTCTACTTACCTGCCCACTGGCCTTGTCAGATGACATTGGAAAAACAAGTGGGTCATTGACTTGTTTCTGTCAGTGCTGATCTGTCACACCTAGGAAGTTACCAGCTTTCACAGCCCTCCACTTGGAAGACTTATATTTTGGCAGTATTTTTGCTCAAATGTGAATGGAAATAATAGTATTCAATTCTTGTGTGTGAGATTTTGATTGCGTCTGTCTTGACCTTTTATAATTTCATTTTGAGGTGCTAACAATACAAATAAATTGCATACTTGTAAGTATGTAGGTATTGCCTAGGTATTTCCTGTACATAAGTTGTATAAATTGCTTACATTGCACAGTGAAAGAAAGTCCCACATTTCAGTGCACTTAACATTTTCAGACTTTTGGCCCTCAATATTACTAGATGTTGAACATGGCTCTCAAACACTTCCATAATAGGTATTTTAGAGATCTTCTAAAAAGAGGTTGCAGAGTATTTTTTATTATTACAGTTGCTGCCAACAAAAAATGGTTGCCCTTCACTGAAGAGTCTGTCAAATCAAAGGTGGGGAAGGTGCTCTTGTGCTCTATGGTAACTTGTACGAGGAGCACTGTGAGTGGAATCTCAACTGACCACACAAGATGGCATTTCAGCAACCACAAAGCATTCACTATTTTCTAATTACAGCCAGCACGCTCTTAGCAGACTGATGTTTTTAATGAGAAGCTATTCACTAGGAATTTCCCTTTTTTATTTTTTTTACATAATGTTTGGAAGTTAGACAGTGCCCTCTTCTGGGCATAGGCTCCCCTAGCAGTAGTTCGCAAAGCGCCCCAAATGTTGACAATTCGTGAAAATGAACACAAAATCTGCATTGTTCTGCTCGAGATATCTGCTGGTTTCAAGGAAGAACACTTTGTTGTGGTGTCTTATTGCATTCTGCTCTACTTGGAAGCATACTGTGCAACAAAAACGGGTCTGAGTTTGGATGGCAAAGAGCTTTTTACTAATTAAATCTGAACCCAGTTGGCTTGAGCTGAGTGTGACTTCATCACAGGGAGCAGCAGGAGCACGTAGTGCTATGCATTTCAATTTTTACAAAAAACAAACAATACTGTAAAAGCATATTCATCAGAAAAAAAATGTGATGAAGAAAAATGCAGATGAATTTGCTTCTTATGTGTTCTCTTGGATGTCTTTGTTGCATTATTTCACGGTTTAAAAAGTTATAATTATACTGAGAAGTAATAAGTGTTGTTTTTCTCTTTATGTTTCTTTAAGTTGTTTTGATTTTTCTGTTTGCTGTGTTGAGGGGATGTCAATAAAAATAGCAACACTGTAAATTTCACTTAATAATTCCATTCTGATGCCTTTGGATTTTTCCAGAGTCTATTAAAAAATACAAAGCAAAACAAAAAAAAACCCCAAAAACCATAAACAAAACAAAACAAAACAAAAAACTGAAAACAAACAAAAAAAAACCCCAAACCCAAAACAAAGCAGTTTACCCAGGATGTAATTTGAATTTACATCCTACAGCAAAGAGGACAGAAAGAGATTAATTTCCCTAGTAATTTAATTAAAAACATTTAGTAAATTTAAAACATGAAATTAAAATCCTTCAAAACCAGACTGTAAAACTGTAGTAATCCAGCATTTACAGAAAAATTTAGGCTGATGGCATAGAAAGCATTATATATCCTTTCATGAAACTTGTATGACTTTCAGCTCTCTCCTCCAGTTTTTCTCAGTACAGAAAACACACGGAGAGAAACATTTGCCTAAGGTTAACTCTGAGGGATTTCTATTAATTGATTGACAGATTGTTTATACCTTAGCTTAAAGATGAAGCAAAGCAGCTCTTGTATTTATTATATGTTTCATGTTTTCTACAAATCTGCAGAATTTTAAAAGCAGATTGTCCATGCAGAGCAGCTGCCAGGTGCCACATTAGAGAGTGTCATTTTGCTCCCTCCAAAGCTGAACTTACAGGGAAAACACAGCTTCTCCTACAGCACCAGCCCGTGTTTTCTACAAATCTGCAGAATTTTAAAAGCAGATTGTCCATGCAGAGCAACTGCCACATTAGAGATTGTCATTTTGCTCCCTTCAAAGCTGAACTTACAGGGAAAACACAGCCCCTCCTACAGCACTCACTCTCTCACTCTCATGATGGCAGCTCTGGAGTAGAGATCAAGATGTGCTCCCAAAATACTCTGTCCATTGCTAGCATGGCCCTGCAGACAGGTTTTATTTACATGTGCCTGCAGCTGGAAGCCTCTTTGCTTCACCAAGGGAGCTCCGTGCCCTCTGCACAGAGCTGTGAGCATGGAGTAACAGAGCCCCTTATTAATGGTCACAGTTGGTCATTAGCTGGTCACTGAATCTTCCTTGATGGCCAGCTAATGAACATCCCACTGGCTGATTGTGAAGATTGGTCAAGATAGACAGTACAGGTAATTTATAGCTGAAGCCCCAGCATGCTAATGGCCTTCCCTGAGTAACTGCAATCAACACAGTACTACTGAGTGGCATTACATCCTTCCTAATTTATTTCTCACTTGCAACTATTTCATGTTAAATGGAGGCTTCAGATTCTATACTTAAAGATGTGTTTGCATGTTTTATTTTAGGGGAAAACTTCTTTAAGAATTTAATAAAGAAAACAACCTTAATCTTAAAACTCTCTGGTTTTGATAAGTTTTGCCCTTATCAGAAGATGTTTATTTTTTAAAAAAACAAATATATGCTCATAACATTCATCTAAAAAAGGCTCAGAAGCCCAGTCAGAGCAAAAATCATCTCTCAGGGGAACCTGTTAGCTGCAGGAGCCTGGAGAGCTTTGATGGTTCAGCACCTGTGGTGTCTAATCTCTGTGAATCATGGATAAATTGGCCAGAAGTTACAGTCTCTCTAGCTGTGATCTTGCCAACTCTTAAAAGCTATAAAGTTTCAAGCAAGCCTTGTCTTGGTAGGAAAGCCCTGGAAAAAGCCCAAAAAGTGGCAGTGATGCATTAGGTAGCCCTCTAAGTCTGGTGGATAATGCCATTGGGGTTGTCCAATTATCACAGAAGCCTGATTTGACTTTACATGTGCAGGTACCTACTTCCATTTCAAGACTGCACAGATTCCACTGGCCAAGACATTCACAATCCTTTAAGGTTTTATATTTTCATTTTCACAGGTTCAAGCATCGTGATTATGATGCAAAACCAAAACAAAAGACAAACCCCAAAACCAAAACAAAACAACCCCACCCACCCCCCATCCTCCACTTGGTACTGCTATAAGAAACCAGGTTTGCATGGCAAGGAACCAAGAAATTGATCATGTTCCACTACAGGTTTTCATGGACTTGACCCACATTAAGTGATGTCCCCATGTCCAAGTTATTCCCTACAAATGGCTTCAAGATTGAAAAATCTTTCCCCCAGTGATTTCAAATTGCACTTCCTGAGCCATGAAGAGATTGAGAAATTGACTTTCCTGGGAGGTGTCCTGACCATCACTCCCTGGGGTGTGAAAACAGGAGCTGTGCTTGTCTTTAGAAAGAGAGGTTTTGCCCTCTCACTCAAGAGACTCATATTTGTCAACTTTGCTCTAGAATATTTGAGATTATTGAAATCTCTCATTATTCAGAGATTCCATTTCATACTTTTTGATTATGAAGGAGACCTTTCTCTCCATCCTAGTTTCAAGTACTGGAATACTCCTGTCTCCATAGCAAGCATTGCTTCAAAAAGTTATGGTAACAACCAAACCTTCCTGAAATGAAAAAAAGAAAATGAGATCCTAAAGTTCCAAAACAGATTGTGAAAGTAGCAGAAATGGTATTTGCCTTGATGCTGCACATTTGGAACAAAAACATTTGATTCTGTATCTTTCATGGCATGGATGTGAGAGTT